TAGTCGTTGTTCATGAGCTTCTAATGTTCCCTGTAATTCTTCTATTTTGAGAGTATCCAAATCACGCCCTTCTTCTATGTTGACCGCAATGATATCAAACTTAGAGGGTAAGGTACGCAATACCTTCTCAATAATGGATCTTGGCTTCAACTCTTCTCCACAAGTCTTCATAAGATTGGTTATTTGTATTATCCGGTTCATATATGTATGAATAGTTTCTACATCCTCCATCCGTAGTAACTCATATTGACGCCTCAGAGTCTGAAGCCTCACCATCTTCATTTTGGAAATACCAGCGTAGCTAGACTCAAGAATGGACCAAGCTTCCTTGGCTGAAAAAGCCGAGGCTATTTTTTCAAAATTCGCCTCATCCACACACTGATGGATGTAGAAAAGAGCCTGCAATCTCGTTTCTTGGCTTCTCTGTACTGCGCCTCAGTCGCATTTGCCCCAATTTCAGGAATCCCTTCCTTTACGATATCAAGAACATCTTGGAATCCAAAGATTGTCTTCATCTTCACGCTCCACCGTTCATAACAGTTCAAATTCTTTGAGTCGAGCACCGGTAAGTTCCCTAGGACATTACTACTTCCTTGCACCATGATCGTTGATCGCTGAAGCTCTGATACCACTGATAGGCTATGGCGATAGTTATTAGTTTGTTATGATACTAACGGAAAGAGAGATAGAGAGAGAGAGTTAATTTGGGAGCAAATCTGAAATTCTTATTGCTGACTTAGGTATTTATACATGCAATACAATAGGCTTATTACAACCCATATATTTGGGCCTATTACAACTCCTAGCCCAGTCCACTGAGATTCTTATTACTCAACACAGCTGACCCAGCTAATAAGCAAATAATCTCGGACCAATTTTTGTTAGCGGGTTGTGTCTGGAGCTTGTTCGGGCCAAAGCTCGGGTGTAACAGGCCGATAATCTTGGACCTGGCCCATTATCCCAACAATAAGAATCTTGCGTTGTTCATTATCGAGAAGGTGAATACACAATTCCTTGTTGTTCCAAAAGGTGGAATCTTCCACCCCAGGAGCCCCCCACACCCCGACCTGACAGGATTTTTGGGAGGATGTAAGTCACGGTGACTCAGTCGGTCCAATGATGGTAGGCCTTTTACCCGTGCGCACCAGAGGTCCAGCCCAGCACGCAGGAGTTGTAACCTCCACACGGTCGTTGCGGATTTTGAACCTTGATCATTGTTCCAAATTTCTCACCACTAAACTGAGTTATTTCACTTATTTGTGCGGGTTGAATACGCAATTCCTATTTCACTTTTTGTGAGACTTTAAATGGCTCATTGGGTGAAGTGTTTCTTGCCGTACGCTTTGATACACTACAATGCTATGGGATCTAAATAGGGGTGGGAAAATATACCGAAATTTCGGTATTCCGGCCATACCGTACCGAAAAATACCAATTTTACCGAACTTTTCGGTATACCGAAAAATTCGGTACGGTATGATACCATACGGGGTCACTTCGGTACGGTAACGGTATGTAGGTTTTAAATTTTCGGTATTTCGGTTATACCGAAATACCGTTAATTATTGGTATGGTACGGTATATACCGAAATACCGAAATAGAATTTGTAAATTATTAGGGCTAAACGGCCCAAACCCATTAAATGAAATTAGTAAAATATCAAGGCCCAAAATCTTAATAGCTCTTCGCCTCTTCTCCGCAGCTTGGGTGCAGGGATTAGAGAGTAGAGACCAAATCCCTAATCAAGTAAACAACAGCTTCGTCCGCAGCTCGTCCGCAACTCTTCGCCTCTTCTGCCGTTCTTCTTCACTCGTCCGCAGCTGTAGCTTGAAGTTTTCTTCTTCCACAGCTTAGTCGTTCATAGCTTAGTCCGCAGCACCCTCGAGCTACAGCCCATGCCAACGGTTACTAGTTAAATTTGCAGGTTTTGTCACTTTTCTATGAATCCTCAACCCACCCATATTTCTTTCAATCTTTTTTCCAATCTTTCTACTATAGTGTGTGGTAGACCTGTCCACCGTTGATTCGAACTGTAGAAAGACCTTTGCAAATAAGTTAAATAAGACCTTTGGTCGTACACTTCGAGTTGTTGATTCAAATAAGACCTGCAATCTTTTTTTGCTGTATTTTAAAATGTAGAAGTACTTTACTTTTTTATTTTCGCGCACCTAAGTGTTATAAAAGGGTCTGCCATCCTCACTGTTTGGGATCAAATTTTGCTCTTCCACACATTACCATATACTTGTTATCGGGGGGTCTAAACATTAACAAAACCGGGAATGAGTTAGCATGGTACCACTGAGAAAGCCAGTGATTTCACCAATTTATTAAGTTGGCAAGATTCTTATATTTTCAACTATATTAAATGTATTTTCCAGAATTGATTAAGATGATATTTGTTACATTTTCAGCATTGCTAATGGAATCTGAATCATCTCACTCGCTGCCCAGTCCAGCTGAATCACCGACCATGCTTGAATATGAAACAGAGAATGGTACTTCTAGCCGGAAGCGAACAACTGAGTGTTTAACAGAAAAGCCTCCTGTAGCACCTAAAACGAGGAGTATTTATTGGAACCATTGTACCAAAGGTTCGAGGAAGTTGGCAGATGGGAGCACTCAAAGTATTGGAATATGCATTTAATGGATGTCAAAACAAGGTGGAATGCAACTTACAAAATGCTCGATGTTGCTTTGAAATATAGAAGGGTGTTTGAAAGGATGACCGAAGAGTGGTCTCCTTTTGTGAGTTATTTTATTGAGAAAAATAAAAAGGGTGAAGCAAGGGTATGACCACCAATTGCTTTAGATTGGGAGAATGCACGGGCTTTTGTGCACTTTTTGAAAAACTTTTATGATGCTACATTAGAGTTGAGTGCCACAAAAACGCCTACCTCTCAATTGATCTACCAATCAATGATTTCCCTCCAAATTGAGATTGAAAAAAAGGTGAGTGATAAGTCCGACCCAACTCTAAGCAAGGTGGCTAGCGCAATGAAGTTAAAATTTGACAAATATTGGGGGGATTGGAATGATATGAATCCTTTGGTTTTCATTAGCAATGTTTTGGACCCTCGAAACAAATTCCAAATGATTAAAGTGAGCATTAAAAAGATTCAAAGTGATCCCACAAAGGTCAAAGACTTCATTGAGAAAATTAAAAAATATTTGATAGCTTTGTGGGTGGAGTATAAGGGAATGAGTGAAACCTTGAATGTGGACAGACAAATCTTGCAAGTGCAAGTGGATGGTGGAGAGAGTGGTGGAGGTGATGACCTTTGGGATGAGTTGTTCAATGATGTGGAAGCACAAAATGAAGAAGAGCAACTTCAAGAGATATCGAATGAGGTTGAAAAGTACCTATGTGATGAGATTGAAAAAAGATCTAATCCATCTTTCAATCTTTTGGAATGGTGGAAAGGGAGCGAAACTAGGTACCCAAATCTTTCAATTATTGCCAAGTATATCTTTCCAATTCCAAGTTCAACGGTTGCCAGTGAGTCCGCATTTAGTTTGGGGAAAAGAGTTGTGGATCCTTTTAGAAGTTGTTTGAGACCCAAAATGGTGGAGGCATTAGTGTGCACTAATGATTGGTTAACAACGGAGGAGTTCAACTTTTATAAAGATCTAAGTGATGAAGACCTTGAGTTGTATAAAGAAATTGAAGAAATGGAAAAATGTAAGTCTTTATTTAATTAAAGCAACACATAAATTATTATTTTGTTTATCTTATGGTTTTTGTATGCTTATTTTTGCAGCTGCAAATGCTATTTAGCACTGAGCCACTGAACATGCCCTCGGGATCCTACCTTGTATGCTACTTTATTTTTTTTCAGCAATGTTATACTAATGGTTTTTTTAAGGCAGGAGTTTTTAAATTAGTAACTAGCTTCTAAGGCAGGGTTTTTAAATGACCTGCCTTAGCTTCTAATGATGCCCATTTGTATTTAAGTTGTGGTTCATATCGGCCTTTTGGACTTCACTAATAAATAGCTAAATGCAAAACTCTTGTTGTAACTTGTAACATAGACAAAATGATGCAGTGGTCGAAAATAAACACTGCATGATCTGCAATGCACTTGCCTCTTAATTTTTGTTTGGCATCTTACATGGTTAGTTATTTTATTAAATTTTGTGATATACTAAGTTGTAAATTGAAATACTTAAATATTATTGAGAGATGATGATGGTTAGTATTACTACACACTAACACACGTTCACTTCACTTACTGTATATATATTGCAAACATGCATTACTTATTTCATTACATTGACGTAAATTTTATGAATAAAATCCATATTTTAAAGCTTAGTTACCAAAAATTAGTTACTTTGTTGTAACTTGTTTTTTGGAAATACGTGAAAAATTAGTATCTTTTGATTAAGTTGGACTTTTTTTGGGAGTACAATAAAACTGATTTATTTTCATTTGCCGGAATGGAGGAGGAATGGAGGAGTGAAGTTTTAGCCTACGTATCTTTTGTAGTTGCAACAAACATTAATAATCATTGATTTATTTTGGATAACTTTTCTAATTTTTATTATGGAATGTGTTGAGACTTGAGATATTAATGCATTATTTTAGTCTTTCCTACTTTGGATTAAATATTGTTTTTTAGTTTTGGTATGAGTTTATGTAATTGATGTCGTATTACTCGTATACTACTTTCAACATATTACAATCAGATTTTATGGTTGTTCGGCAGGCCCGTTATGCCGATGCTTTATACAGAATCATCTTACAAGTTTAGTGTTGTGAATTTTAGATCTAACCAGTAGTGTCGTCTGAAAGATAATAAATGGCAAAAAAGCATAGCTCATCATATTGATGTAGCTAGATATATATACGTAGTATTAGAGCTTGAGAAGCTCCAGGTTGTTACAAGTGATAAGGTTTGATATACAAGGATAATATCCTAATACAAATAAGCTACGTAAAGGATAATTATACAAAGAATATAATTGGATAATACGTGAATAATAATATAGACATTATATTCTATCATGCCCCCGCAAGCAAAGGGATCCGGGGAGGATGCCAAGCTTGGATCGATGAGAGAGAAACAACTTCCGATGAAGAGGTTTTGTGAGGGAATCAGCAAGTTGGTCGTGAGTGGGAACATGAACAACTCGAAGAGAACCATTAGCAACTTGTTCACGGACAAAATGAAAATCAATAGCAACATGCTTCATACGTGAGTGAAACACTGGATTGGCACACACATAGGTAGCACTTAGGTTGTCACAATAAACAGTAGGAGCACGGGGAGGAGAAATGTGCAATTCTTTAAGAAGATTACGTATCCAAGTGAGTTCGGCTGTGGCACCGGCAATGGCCCGGTATTCAGCTTCAGTAGATGAACGAGCAACGGTAGTTTGCTTTTTTGAGCTCCAGCTAATGGGATTACGGCCAATGAAGATGACATAAGCAGAAGTAGAGTGACGTGTATCAGTATCACCGGCCCAGTCGGCATCAGCAAATGCATGCAAAGAGAGAGGAGTATGAGCAGATATATAAATACCAAAATGAGTTGTGCCTTTGAGATATCTAAGGACACGTTTAACAGCCTGCCAATGGAGCGTAGAGGGACAATGCATAAACTGGGCTAATTTGTTGACTACAAAACTGATATCTGGACGGGTGAAGGACAAGTACTGAAGAGCACCTAAAACACTACGGTACTCTTTGGGATCGTAAGGGGCAGCACCATCTTTCAATGATAGATGGTCATTAGGGGAGATAGGTGTAGGTACAGAACTGGCATCTTGCATGTTGGTACGACTAAGTAAGTCACGGGTATACTTGTGTTGACTGAGAAAAAGTCCTGATGATGAGCGTAAGGCTTCCAAACCAAGAAAATATGATAAGGAGCCCAAATCTTTGAGAGAGAACCGACTGGCCAACCGGGTAATAAATGATAGAACAGTAGATTCAGAGTTACCCGTGATGATGATGTCATCCACGTAAACCAAGAGGAAAAGAAGACAGCCCGATGTATGATGGATGAAGAGGGAGACATCACTTTTGCTATTAGTAAAACCAGAGGCGAGGAGATAGGTGCGAAGTTCACAGTACCATGCCCGGGGTGCTTGACGCAGACCATAGAGAGCTTTGTGGAGGAGGCAAACATGGCTAGGATGATTTGGATCAACAAAACCGAAAGGTTGCTGCATGAAAACTTTATCAGATAAGGTGCCCTGTAAAAAAGCATTATTAACATCCAATTGTCTAATTGGCCAGTGATGAGTAACCGCTAAAGTGAGAACAATTCGGACGGTAGTCGGCTTAACAACCGGGCTAAAAGTATCAGTAAAATCAACGCCAGGGCGTTGGTGAAAACCTTTGGCAACAAGCCTTGCTTTATATCGTGCAACAGAACCATCAGAATTTTGCTTAACCCGAAAAACCCATTTACAACCAATAACATTTTGTGTGGAATCAGGAGGTATAAGAGACCATGTTTGATTTTTATGAAGAGCAGTGATTTCTTCCTGCATAGCAGTGCGCCAATGAGGAAGGAGATTTGCTTGTTTGAAGGTTGTGGGAGCAACTGGTGCAGGGGTTTGAAGTGTAGTATGCAAGGCATATTTTGGATTAGGCTTGAAAATGTTGTTTTTAGAACGGGTGATACGGGGAGAGAGAAGAGGCTTACTTGATGCATGAGAATTCATGCACGTAGATGGATGTTGGGTGGAATGAGTGGGAGGTGGGATGTTGGGTGAGGATATGGGTTGACTTGGGGGTGCATTAGAATTAATGCACGTAGATGGGATATTGTTATTAAGTGGAGATGTTGGTGGAGTATTATTGAGTGGAGAGGTTGGTGGGGTATTATTTAGGTGAGGTGGAGAGATAGAATTTGTGGGGGAAGGTGGATCAGTAGTGGAAGGATAAGGGATGACAAGGTGAGGAGATAAGTGTTGACTAGGTAAATGTGGCGCAGATTTGCTGGAGGAATTAGTGGTGGCCGTTTGGGGGGTGAGAGATGGATAGAATTGTTCAAGTATATGTGGAGGAACGGTGAGAGGAGTATTAGCTGATTTACAGGGTAAAATATGTTCATGAAAAATTACATGCCTAGAAATATACATACGATTTGTTGATAAATCAAGACAGTAATTTGCATGATGTGTGGGGGAGAAACCGAGATATAAACAAGGACGAGAACGAGGTTGTAATTTATGATTACTATATGGACGGAGCCAGGGATAACAAAGACATCCAAAAATACGAAGAGTCCGATAATTAGGAGTGTCTCCGAATAATTTGGAAAATGGACTTTGGTGAGATAAGAGTGGAGTTGGGAGACGATTTATGAGATATGATGCATGTTGAAATGCATAGGTCCAAAATTTGAGTGGGACCCCGGCATAAAATAAGAGGGTAAGAGCTGTTTCAGTAACATGACGGTGTTTACGTTCAGCAGAACCGACATGTTCAGGTGTATATGGGGGAGATTTGAGATGCTCAATTCCATGTTTGGAGAGTAGAGGTGTGAGAGCTTGAAATTCACCGCCACCATCACTATAAAGAGTTTGAATTTTTGTGCTAAAATAATTTTCAATGAGAGCACGAAATTTATCAAAGACAGAATAAACATCTGATTTATATTTGAGCGGAAATAACCAAGTGTATTTGGAATAGTAATCAATAAATAGAACATAATATCGTTCATTATTAATTGAGGTAACCGGGGATGGACCCCATACATCGGTATATAAATACTGAAATGGACGGGTACATTTTATTGAGGAAGAAGAGAAAGGTAATTTATGCATTTTTGCTTGAATACATGAATCACATGAGTCAACAGGTTTATTTTGGGGACATAATTGACGATGGACTTGAGCAGATGGATGACCGAGGCGGTAATGCCATAATTGAGAGACTGTGAGATTGACTTGAGGACGAGTGGAACGAGGCCAAACATAGAGATTGTTTTCACTCCGGCCGCGGGCCAAGGATTCCCCCGTGAGTAGATCCTTCACAATAAAAGAGTCGGGTGAGAATTCAATAGAGGTACAGTTTTGTTTACAAAACTGATTGACGGAGATGAGATTAGTATGAATATGTGGAGCACACAAAATGTTATTAAGTTTAAAATGAGAGTGGGGAGAAGAAATAACCGAGGAACCTGTATGAGATATAGAGAGACTTTTACCATTACCAAGCATTACTAAGTCAGGGCCACTGTAGTCAGAGTGAACTTGAAGGTTGTTGAGGTCCGAAGTGATATGGTGAGTAGCACCAGTATCCAGGAGCCAATTGGAAGGGGAAGAACTAGTAGTAGTACTGGAGGCAACATTAGCAGCAGGGGGGAACGACTGTAGCATGTCTTAGCGGTATGGCCTGGTTTGTCACACAATTGACAAGTAGCAGCGGGAGAACCAAATCCCTGGGAATGAGGTATGGATGCAGAATACGGAGATCGACCACGACCACGACCTCGTGGTTTAGCAGATGAACCACGTCGTTGAGTGTATTGCGCCGTAATAGGGACATCAAAGCTAGTGGGCTGATCTCCGGCAAGAATTTCAGCTTCAATAAGAAAGTCACGTAATTGCTCAAACGAAGGAGGAGTAGGTTGGACACGGAGTGCGCCAACCAGGTCTTTGTATTCGCCGCCTAATCCAGTGAGAATATAGGAAGCAATGTGACCAGTGCTTTGAGGGTGACCTATGGTGGCGAGATCGTCGATGAAAGTGCGCATGGTGGCCATATAATCAGCAACGGATTTGCCAGCCTTTTTTGTGGTCATCAAAGAGGAGAGCAAAGAGAGCATTCGAGTTGTGGAGCTGTTAGCAAAGCTGGACTCAAGCTTTGTCCATGCCGAGGAAGAAGAGGTGCAGGAATTGATGATAGGGCTAATAGTGACAGACACTGTGGACTGAATAGCCAGTAAAACTAGTCGATCTTGACGTAACCACAAGGAGCGATTGGCATCGGAGGAAGTCGGGCAGGGGGTGGAGCCGTCGATGTATCCCAGGAGATCATAACCAAATAATAGGTTAGTGAGTTGTGATTTCCAAGATGAATAGTTGCTGCCATCTTTAGATAATTTGATTGGAATTTGGGAAGAAGCATTGAGAGATATGAGCTGGGAAAGATCATGTTGGGTGGGTATGAGGTGTGAGGCAGAGGTAGTAGATGATGGCATCGTAAATGGATCGGAGATCAATCAAAAGATTGAGGCGTCTGATACCATGAAAGATAATAAATGGCAAAAAAGCATAGCTCATCATATTGATGTAGCTAGATATATATACGTAGTATTAGAGCTTGAGAAGCTCCAGGTTGTTACAAGTGATAAGGTTTGATATACAAGGATAATATCCTAATACAAATAAGCTACGTAAAGGATAATTATACAAAGAATATAATTGGATAATATTGAGTGAAGTTATTGTAGATGATCATTTTAGCTATTTTCATATAATTTTTTCTTTATTTTATTAATATAATCTATTTTAAATATAATTTTTTCATAAATAAGCAAAATCATCCAATCCAGCAGTTTCAGCCAGAATTTCATAAACTTCAGCAAAATCAGTCAAAACAACCGATTTGAGTATGACTAAACAGGCACTAAGAATTAGGGTTGTATACGAATCAAATAATTTATGCTCGATTCGGGATTCGAATTCGTATAAGACAATTCAAATTCGAAAAATTCAAATACAAATACTAAATTTGATACGAATTGTTATCAAATATCAGTATAATTGATTCGAATGTTAATCAAATGTATTCGATTAATAATAGTGATATTATTAATAATAATAACAACAACAATAATAGTAGTAATATTAATGGTAATAATACTATAATAATTTTTAAAAGCTAGTTATACTTTCAAAGTGTAGCGCGTGAGCACACACACACATATATATATTTACGTATACACATTCCAAGTCCATTTGTAATAGATTAGAAGTATCAAAAGGAGTAAGTGTTGTAAACAAAATAAATAATTTTTATTCGATTTGTGATTTGGATTCATAAATTATGATTTAAATTTGAAAATATATAATATAAATACGGTTATGAATCAGATTTTTTGTTCAAACATCTTTCAAATACGAATACAAATAACTATGTATTTGATTCGAAGAATAATAAAATATATATTCGTTTATACATAAACAAAATCAATGATGTAATGTGTGTGTGTATCAACTACTGAGGTGAAAATTAAGCGCGTGAAATTAAAAGTTACGTGTTTGGTAAAAAAGTTGGTTGATAAGCCTAATGAGGTGAAAAACAAGGTCACCAAACAAGATCTTAATCTATTTAATCTATATTAATTGGGTCCTTCGGTTAAAAATTTTCGTTTACATTCACTGTAGCTAATTTATTAACATCTCATAGTTTTGAACATTTTAGAACAATACAATTATTCTTAAAATTTAAGTAGCAAATCTAGTTGTTTTACGGTTCGGTTTGGTTCGGTTCGAATCTTAATCTATTTAATTTATATTACGGTTCGGTTCTTGTTTTTTCGTTACTAAAAAGTATTACTGTATAATCTTTGTAAAGTGAACTCGTTCATTTCTGCTACATTAAACATAATCGTTCAAACAAGTGACCTATGACATATGTTTCGGCAACAAAAAAGATAAGACATAAGACGTAATTAAAGTATGAAAGTTTCAACATATCGAAAACATAAAAGATTAAACATTATAACCAGAACTTGAGGGAAAAAAATACAAAAGTCATTAAGTTCAGTTCATAAAATGGATAAAGACTCCATGTTAGTCCACACAAATCATTCTTCATAAACGCATAAACTAATTGAGTTAATGACTTAATAAGATACCTCGTTTTGTGATTTAAAGGAACAACATAGTGAACTAATAGCTTGACAAAATACAAAAATAAAAAATATTAGAGTTAATCAGTGGATGATTTAATAAATTAGTGACTAAAAGGTAATCAACTAATAAAGTGATTTATGTAATGTTGGGGTAATTGACCCAATACCCCGTGAGGAAAAAGTGGCAAGAGTAAAAAAGGCCCATGCGATGCTCGTCGCGTCTCGGGCGACGTGACGCTCGTCACCTATAATACCTTGACCCATTTAGACCAGGCAGTCAACGAAGGCCTCAACTGGGATGCTCGTCAAGCACCGGGCGGCATCCTTGCTTTGCACTTACCTGGCTCAGGGATCATAAAGGTCTCATACAGGAATGTCCATGATATTTGGCGGGAAAGCATAGATATTGCCGGGAAACGCATTAAATGCTCCAGATGTGCAAGATTTTGTGGTTGCAAGGCTAGGTACTCATGATCATCCACATCACCACTACCACCTACCTCATGGTAGTATAAATAGTAGCATTTATTTCATTGTTAGGGGTTGACAACTTGTATTTACTAGCACTAACCTATATTCTTTATATTCATAGATCATATTAAACACTCAGCCTCGACTTTCAATAGAGTATGCTGTAATTGTTCGTTATTGTCTAATACGACCTCGACCCACTTGTTGTCTATTTTCTAAATACTTGTGCCTTTTCATTCACATAACACATAACACACTAAAATTCCATAGAGGGGGCGTGTTGGGCCCTTGGAGTTGGAGGAATTAACCTACAACATGCAACTAAAGTAAAATTTCCATCATTTGCAATGGAGTCAAACATTGACTATTTTTTGGCTTGGGATATTATGGAATAAAACAAAATGGCTCATCAAAATGTCTGCGCTTCTTTGTTATGAAGCATCAGTCAGTACATGCAATTTATGATGTGATCTTCACATCTTGAAATAGTCTCTCTATGCTTTAGTGCATGGTGTGGCTGCGTCCGCCCCCTTACATGATGATGATGTAACTAAATAAAAAAAGATATGTGTATTAGATCTTATGATTAAGAACCTTGATGGAGTATATGGGCCCAGGCCCCAGGACCCACATACTCAGAGGAACAGAAAGTACAAGCCACTACGCAGTGCCCTCATCGCCCAAAGGACCCTCGTCGGCCGAAGAGCGACCGACTCAGAATATGATCCTGAAGCCAGGGAACCAGGGTGTCCTCATCGGTCGTGCCCTCGTCGGCCGTGCCCTCGTCGGTCAGACCCCTGTCGGCCACGGAAGTCTCACAGAACTAGATTTTACATTTATTCATTTATGTATCCCATCATTTACTTTGTATTCGCCCCAATAGCGGTCCAGTTGTAAATGGGCCTCTCAAGCCCAAGGCTTGGGAGCCCAGCCCGTATTTTTCCTATAAATACTTCCTCTAGAGGTGGTTATAAATACTTCCATCAACGTGATGTACCTGGACACCTTCAAGCAGCTGAAGCTGGACAAAGCTCTGCTAAAGCCGATCAAGACACTGTTGTCCGGCTTCACCGGGGACTCTATCGACGCCGAGGGCACGATAGTCCTCCCCGTGGAGGTCGGCGACGGCTCCCACCGTGCCAAGATTGACATGGAGTTCATGGTGGTCAACCTCCAGTGCGCCCACAACCTGATCTTGGGGCGGCCAGCACTGGAGGACTTGGAGGCCATCATCTCCATGAAACACTTGTGCCTGAAGTTCCCCACCAACGGCAGCATCGGCTACGCCAAAGGAAATCAGAGGATAGCCAGAGCATGCTACCTCAAGCTAACGAGGCCGGGCGAGCGGGGAGGACATAGGATAGACACCATCACAGCAGCCGCTGCCAAGGACGAGGAAAGACCGCATGCCGAACCGGACGAAGAGGTCGAGGAGGTCCCCCTGGATACCTCCCGGCCGGAGCGGGTCCTCAGAATCGGGAAGCAACTCCCACAGGACCAGAGGGACGCCACCGTCCTCGTCCTACGGTCATACGCCGTCATCTTCGCGTGGGGCCCGGACGACATGCCAGGCATCAGCCGGCAGGTGATCACCCACCGGCTGACCGTCGATCCAGCCTCCGCGCCCGTCAAGCAGAAGCGGCGCTACTTATCCGCCGACAGGAGGGACTTCGTCAAAGGGGAGGTCAGCATGCTCCTCTC